GCCGAACATACTCCTAATAGGGCCCACCCAGGGCCCCATACTTTTCAGCAGCGGGGAGTCTACCGCGGGCCACTTGGTATGCCACTCGCGCGTTTGCGTGCCAGGCTGCTACACCGCGGTTGCATGCTCAGCGCGCGTTTGGCGCAGCTCGCGGTTGGCGCGCATTTGGCGCGTCGACTGCTTCGCCGTCTGGTTACTGACTTGCTCCCTGGTTGCCAGAAAATGCGGCAAAATGTAGACTATGTTGCGCCATGTTGAGTACAACTTTGGACTGCTGATGACCATATTGAACCCGTCCCCGGGAGCATCGTGGACGCTCCAGCCCGTCGCGAGGGGGTCCCATGACCATGGGGAGACAGGGACGATGAAGAAGAGAGAGATTCTTTGGAAGAGGCGGCACCCTAAACTACCCTTGCTCAGAGTGCCAGTGGGATTCGTCGTCGTCGTGCTTGTCGCGTTGGTTGTTTGTTCATGTGTCCTGTTGTTGCCCACTGCGCGACCATTTTTCTGTTGCCCGTCACAGCCAACACACGTGTTTCTGTTTGGAAAAAGAGTTTATGGTAACATTCCATGGGGGACATCCTCGGGCGTGTTGAGGCGGGTGCTTCAAACGAGACGTGAATACATCCAGGAGGATGCTTCACCTGTCCATTCGACAAGAAACGGGCCCCGGGGACCGTACCGTACAACAATCCACTTGCCCCATCCCCACCAGGCCCAGCCCCTATCCCGAAAATGTTCCTTCCTTTTCCACCCCCCCTTTCCTTTTGGCAAGGAAGGCGAAGAGGCGGCGGGAGGAGGGAGCAGGAGGGGGAGGTATCTTCCCGGCTTGGATTTCTCAATGTTCTTGAGGGACCCTTTGGGTTCTTGAGGCCGACCTGGGAAGGTTGACCTGGTGAGACTTTCTTGGCCCTGCCACACGTTCTTTCCCTGGGCGGGCTGACTTGTTGAGAACCCCATCGCCCTGCCACACGTTCGTGACCTGGGAAACTTGACAGTTTGAGAATCCTATGGCCCTGCCACCCGCTCGTGACCTGAAAGGGATGAAATAGTGAGACTCGGATGTCCCTCCTCCTCCTCCTCCTCCTCCTCATTCTCCCCCTCCCTTTCTCCCTTAGATCGCCTTCGCGTCCTTTTGGCTGCCCCTGAAACCACCGTAGAACTGGAGATCCCATGACCCCATGAGTTGAAACATGTTTTTTTTTGTTCCAGCTCACCCCCTGCTTACATTTGCATGAAGATCCCGAGAGGCATCTTAACAGACAGTGGCCTGCATCCAGAAAACTTCCAACCCACAGCCCAGGCACGGCAACTTGAAAAACACATGACATCCCACAAATCGTTTTTTTTGTTCAAGTTCGCCCCCTGTCTACTCTTGCACAACAGACCACAATTAAGGCCCCCCTCAGCTCCCAGAAAAGAAACCAGGAAGCCTATGAGGGTCCCAAATCGTTGAATACCGAATGGGAATTAATGATTTCCGCGTTTTCGCAGTTCCCTTCCTATACGGTTCCGAGGCTTGCGCAGGGCCTCCAAGAGAGTGCCTGGATGCAAAAAGCAGAACTTGAGCGCGCGCGAAGCGCGCTCGCGCGATGGTTCTAGTATGTATATATATATACGTTGTTCGTCGTTTGGCTTTTTTGTTCTCTTGGATTATGCCTTTGGTTTCTTGAGTTTTTTTGGTTTTCCCTAGGCTCTTTTTGTTTTTCCATTGTCTTCATCGGGCATCTCTCTGTGAACCCCACACAAAAGGATTCCTAGTGCGAGTTTTTCCTATCTAATCCCTACGTGGTGCTTCCCAACGGATTCCTGTTGTGAGGCCTTCTAGTAGAATCCCTGTGTGGTGCCTTACCAAGGATTGACGCGCGGTCCGAAGTCGCGCGCTGCCCTCGCTCCGCCCCCCGCGTGCAGTCCCCAACGGGGGGACACACACCTATTTTTCTTTTGTCCCTGCCTGCTCCTGCCTCCCTCTTCTCCTTCCCTCCTTGCCGTCTTTCTCGGTCTCTCCCTCCCTCTTTCCCCGTCCCTTCCCCGCCTGCCCCCAAGTACACCGTCTCTGCCTCGTCGCCTTTCTCGTCTTCCTTGTTCTCTCTGATCTCGCTCTTCCCCTACTCGTTCAATTCATTCTCTCTCTTCGTCCTCGTTGTCCTCTTCCTCCGCATTTTCCGCACGTCTTCCTTCTACAGAACGTTTCCCTGTCGCACCCCGAGACGTGCCAGTAGGGCGGGCCGGGCGTTCCGCCTGAGACTTCCTCGCCACTCATGCTCCCGGGCCTTGAATTGGTAACTTCTTCGATGGTGGAGAGTTATTAGCGTCTTCAAAGTGTGGCTCTCGCCTCAGCGCCGCGCGCGTTCGTCGTACAATTTTTGGCAGCGCTTCCAATGGCGGAGGGCGGGCTGCTTTCAAAACGTGGCTGTCACTCTAACGCCGCGCACGTTCGTCATTCGCTTGCCGCAGTTTCAAGGGTGGAGGGCGTTTCTTTTATTCGAACTGTTGTTGTCGCTGTAGCGGCCCGCACATTCGTTTCAACAACTTGCAGGAATTTCATGTAGGGCGGGCCGTTTTTAACCGGTGGTTCTCACTGTAGCGCCGCAAATTTTCGTCGTAAGTTTGCAGCAGTTTCCAGGATGAGGGCGGTTTTTCAAATTGTGGCTCTCGCTTCAGCGCCGCGTACTTTCGTCTTTCAGGCTTGCAGCAGCTCTAAAGATCCGTAGGGTTAAATCCCAGAAGTGGTGTTCTTACACGGCTTAGGACTCCCAGGACACAACAAAAACGTTGATGCGCTGTGTTGAAGTCCCAGGCATAGCGTCACGGCACGGTTTATGTTTGTCAGGATGTGACCGCCACGTTGATTCGCGGTGTTGAAGTCGCCAGAACGGTGTTTTGGTTTATGCGCCTCAGATGATTGTTTTTCAATGGGGCACTTTCCGCAATGAGCATACATTCTTGCAGGGACCTGTGAAAATGGAACTTGGGGGGAGTTGTTTGGAAAACCTCGTTGATACGTTTTGGGTTTACGCTGGTCCTCCTCATCCTCCTCCTCATCCTCCTCCCCCTCCTCCTCACCTCTCCTCCCCTCTCGTCCCCCTCCTCTTCACCTCCCTCCCATCCCATTCTTACTCTCTTTCCTCCCCCTCCCTGCCTTCCTTCCCCTTCCTTCTCCGCCTTCTTCCACGCGCCTAATTTCCCCACCCTTCTTCTCCTGCTCCCCTTTTTCCTCTGGTTCCCCTCGCCTCCTCCATTTCGTCCCTCCCCCCTCACTCCCTGCCTTCGATCTCTTCACCTTCCCCGCTCCTGCTTCTCTTGCTCCACTTCCTCCTCCTTCTCTGCCCCCTGGTTCCTTTTCCATGTCACACTTTCGTTTTTTTTTTTGCACCATCAGGCGTGCTTGTATTGCGAGCTTGCCTTTCGCCAGACGCGTCCTGGCGGTCTCTGATTTTGAAGCTTGGTTCCCCGAACAGTGCCTGCAGTCACAGTTTCTTTCTTACTTGCGCTCCTTACGTACTTGGACGGGCCCGCCGAGAATTTGTCACGCTGCCGCCCCGGAGGAGGGGGAGGAGGAGGAGGAGGAGGAGGAGGAGGAGGAGGAGGAGGAGGAGGAGGAGGAGGAGGAGGAGGAGGAGGAGGAGGAGGAGGAGAAGGAGGAGGAGGAGGAGGAGAGGAGGGAGGAGGAGGAGGAGGGAGGAGGGAGGAGGGGGAGGAGGAGGGGGGAGGAGGGAGGTGGAGGAGGAGGAGGAGGAGGAGGAGTCGGAGGAGGAGGGAGGAGGGAGGAGGGAGGAGGGAGGAGGGAGGAGGGAGGAGGGAGGAGGGAGGAGGAGGGGGGAGGAGGGAGGCGGAGGGAGACGGAGGAGGAGGAGGAGGAGGACGAGGAGGAGGAGGAGGAGGAGGAGGAGGAGGAGGAGGGAGGAGGAGGAGGAAGAGTAGGAGTAGGAGTAGGAGTAGGAGGAGGAGGAGGAGGAGGAGGAGGAGGAGGAGGAGAGGGTGAGGGTGAGGGGGAGGAGGAGGAGGAGGAGGGTGCCACTTCGTGTGCGCCCGTGGGTGCCACTGTGCGCTGGGTGGGTCCGCCGACGCTGCGTCACGCTGCCGCCCCGTGCCGCTTCGTGGGCGCTCGTGGGCGCCCCGTGCGCTGAGCTTACGCCACATGGCCGACCCCACATCGCTTGCACGACATAGCTCCTCCCTCCCCCTCCTCCTCCGCCTCCTCCTCCTCCCCCTCCTGCTGGTCCTCCGCCTCCTCCCTCCTCCCCCTCCTCCCTCCTCCTCCCTCCCCCTCCTCCTCCGCCTCCTCCTCCGCCTCCTCCTCCTCCTCCTCCTGCTGGTCCTCCGCCTCCTCCTCCTCCTGCTTCTTTGCACTTCATAACCTCTACTGCGTACGTCGTACCATAACACGTTCACCGCACAGTACCTACCTCCAGCTCGCGCCACATAGCGTACACCACATGGCTTGCACTTGTATAGCTCACACCACATAGCTTACACGACATAGCTTACACTATAGCCCATTCCGTATAGCTTCCACCTCCACAGTGCAATAATTCATTGTTCGTGGTCTACGCTGGACTGTTTGGGGTCTGCGCTGGCTAACTTTCTTGTAAAAACGGTTACACGGGTTGAGGGTGGACTGTTCCAACATGTTGTTCCCGCCTCATCGCCTCACACATACGCCGTACAAGCTTGCCACGCACACACACACACACACGTATTCAATTGTTATTTTCAACAGGCGGTTCTCATCACTTCTCCGCGCGCAGTTGCTTTAAATTGTTGCGGTGCTTACATGGTGGATGGGCGTCCCCTTTTCGAAACAGGGCTCTCGCTTGACGCTCTTTTGAACTCGTGATGGGAAGCATCATTAGGTCATTCCTAGTTCTCAGAAGGATGCAGGGTGGTTCCTTAGTAAGACGGGACTTTTACCTGAATGGCAGGCCCAATGGGCGTTCGGTTCAAGGGGGCGCTCCCCGTATGGAACGGAACACGGGGGGCTTGAGAGGATGACCTGGGACGGGAGGGTTGGCTTGTTTTCCACCACCACCACCATAAACAAGTCGGAGGGGGGAAGGAGGTGGAGGATGAGGAGGAGGAGGAGGAGGAGGAGGAGGAGGAGGACCCCCTCCCCCTCCCACTTATGGTGGTGGCGGTGGAAAACGAGCCCACCACGGGAGGGCGTATTGCAGCATTGCTCGTTGATGCATTCTGGGCTTGCTCTGGTCCTCGACCTCGTCCTCGTCCTCCCTCTGCCTCGTCTCCTCCTTCTTCTCTTTCTCCCCTTTCCCCCCCCCCCTCTCTCTGCCCCCTCCCCAGATCTCCGACCTGGTTCTCGGTTGTGGTTCACAGCGGGGACCCCCAGAGGTTTCGACTCCTTCCCCAAAACTTGCTTGTCAAATCCTGAGTCTATATTTTCGCAGCCTTGGGGCCCAATAAGGGCCTCCATCGACCGACAACTTTCAAAAACCGTCCGTCGTGCTTTCTTGTTTCACGAGGCGAGGGGGTTGTCCTTTTTGTGCGGAAGGTTCGCGTCGTGTTGACTCGGTGGCGACGCCAACGCGGTCGTTCAAGGTTGAATACCACTGGCAGCAGATCTCTCAAGTTCGAAGGATTCACGCGGTGTCATGGACCACAACCTACGTCGAAACGACAGGAACCGGCCGTATCTTTATCGGCCTGATTTTCCTTTCCCCTCTCGCATTCTTCCGTGACGTGGGCCGCCCGGAAGATCTCGACCCCTTTCCCCAGGGCCGGCTTCTCATCCCGAGTCGTTTTTTGACGACGATGGGGCCAGGAAGCGGCCTCCAGAGGCCGAACATGCCCACAGACCGACCGTCACGATTTCGTGTTGCGCCGCCTGGATCTGAGAGCTGCCCTCCTTCCTACTGGCAGGGCACTAATGCCTTGATTGCTAGCCTGGCGGGCGTATCTTCTGTACCTGCGTATGCGTGGTGCTCCCACCTCCCCCTCCCCCCTTCTCTTGCCCCGATCAGCTGGCGCAGTGCTTCACCCACTTCCGCCTGCGTCTGTCAGAGCTTGATTTCCTGCCCGCGCTGCATTTTGGGTACATATTTTCAGTCCCATAGCCGAAGGCTTCCCTTGGAAGCCTGTGAAGGTCGGAGAGGTTCCCTGGGGCCCGCACCATGCTTCCGATGCGGAATCCAGCCGTGGCGATGAGGAGTCTCACGGCTGGCGACGAAACGACAGGCGGGGCCGCGCGCGCTCTTCGGCGCGCACCCCTTTTCCTGACGCTCGGGCCGCGCAAAGGCTGGACGACGTAAGGCTGGTGAGTGAGTCCCCTCCTCCCCGCCCGCCTCCACCGCTCCAGGTCCTGATCCTCAGCATCCCCATCTTCATCGTGGACGTGAGGCATCTCCCGCGCGGGGCGCTCCTGCGCCTTCCTCGCCCCCTCCTGTCGTTCTCATCGACGTCGCTGTCGTCATTGCCGTCCTCCTCCTCCTCCTCCTCCTCTTCCCTCCTTCTCCCGCCTCCTCCCTCCTTCTCTCTCCTCCTCGTCCTTCTCCTCCTGATGACGATGCTGCTGCTGCTGATGATGATGCTGATGATGATGATGCTGATGATGATGATAATGATGATGCTGATGGTGATGCTGATGATGATGGTGATGGTGACGATGAGTATGATGCTGATGCTGATGTTGATGATGATGCTGATAATGATGGTGGTGGTGGTGATGATGATGATGGGGAGAATGTTGACAATGGATGCTGCTGTTGCTGACGATGATGATGACGATGATGATGGTGGTGATGATGATGACGACGATGCTGATGATGATGCTGATGCTGATGATGATGATGCTGCGGATGATGCTGGTGATGGTGATGCTGATGCCGATGCTGATGCTGATGCTGATGTGGCTGCTGCTGCTGATGCTGAAACTTATGATGCTGATGGTGATGGTGATTGCGATGGTGATTGTGATGCCGATGCGGATGCTGGTGATGCTGCTGCTGCTGAGGATGATAATGATGTTCTTGATGACGACGATGATGATGACGATGATGCTGCTGAGTTTGATGATGCTGCTGATGATGAGTATGATGCTGATGATGATGATGATGATGATGATGATGATGATGATGATGATGGATGATGATGATGATGATGATGATGCCAATCATTATGATGACGACGATGATGGTGGTGCTGATGATGATGACTACGGTTATCATGATGATGACGATGCTTACAATGTTGATGCTGTTATCATTGTTGATGATGACGATGATGGTGATTGTGATTGAGATTATGATGGTGATGGTGATGATGATGGTGATTGTGATGGTGATGGTGATGGTGATGGTGATGATGCTGACGATGCTGATGCCGCTGCTGCTGCTGCTGCTGATGATGATGATGATGATGATGATGCTGCTGATGCTGATGCTGATGCTGATGCTGATGCTGATGCTGATGCTGATGATGCTTGTAAGGATGGTTGAGATGATGATGGAGATGATGGTGGTGATTGTCATGATGATTGCGATTGTGGTGTGATGACGATGGTAATGCTGGTGCTGATGATGATGCTGCTGCTGATGGTGATGACTATGATGACGAGGAGGAGGAGGAGGAGGAGGAGGAGGAGGAGGAGGAGGAGGAGATGGAGGAGGAGGAGGAGCAGCAGGGGGAGGAGGAGGTTGCCCTCCCTCTCCCCGTACTCATTCTCGTGACCACGCCCAGCCTCGGCGGCGCTCAAAGCAGGGTGGGGCATGGGGGGACGGCCTTGTGATTTGGAGGCACCCGACCTCTCAACAGCCCCCTTGCCGTGTAGCGCAACTTTTCACACCGGGCGTTCTCGTGCAATGTCGGGCCTCAGAACCCTCACAGATCGATCTGGCTCGAAGACTGGCACAGGAAGATGGGGTCCGGGGCTCCGCTTGTGATTTCTTAAGATGTGACGTCAGATTGGAGGGTTCCTGGCGGGAGCCTCCGAGAAGGGGCCGCCGAGCGGCGCCCTGCCTTCCGATACGGCCACCCTCCCGTTGCGACGGCGGCGCACCTGTTCGTGACGCGGGCCCCCCGGGGATCTCGACGCCTGCTTCACTCGGGCGTCGCGCAAGGGGGGGGCGGTAAATTCGTTGGTGGACAGAACCCCTACCCTGACACGTCGATTCGTGAATTGTCAGTTTTGGGTTCTCGAGAGGGCGCCGCGGCCGTCATTTTTCAGGCTTGCGCCCGCCAGGTTTGGGCCCGAGGTCGTTTTCACTAAACCACGTTTTACTAAAGTGGGTTCTGTCCATCCCCGATGAATAATGGGAGGGGGGGGGGTGAAGAGAGGTGCACCGTGCGTGCTCTTTGGGGGCCCTGAATGGGGCTCCCTGGGGCCCAGAAGGGGCACGAAGGGCGCACGTTTCTTCCCCCTCCCCCACCCATCGCTCCACTTCGCAGTGCCCGCTGCGCACCGCCCTCCCCACTTCGCAACACCCGCATAGTAAGGATGAGCAACTTTACAAGGTGGCCGTTGCATTCTTGCCCTTCGGCCCATCCTTGACCACTTTCGTTGGCCGCGCCCCGTTCGAAAAGCTTCGACATGGCCTTCCAAGGCCCATCCTCATCCTGCGTCCCTGGGGCCCTCCATGGGGTCCCGGGACTGTCAGGAAACGACTCAGGATAAAGATCTCGTCCTGGGGGAAGGCCCCAGGGTCCAGGACCCGTTTCGCTTAGGACCTGCCTAGCGGTCCCCTCCCTCCTCGGGAAGGGAGATTGGCCGCTGCCAGCCCCTCCTCCTCCTCCTCCTCCTCCTCCTCCTCCCCTCCTCCTCCCTCCTCCTCCCCCTCCTCCTCCTCCTTCTCCTCTCTCCCTCCCTTCCCCCTCCCCTCCCCTCCCCCTCCCCCCCCCCCTCCCTCCCCCTCCCCTCCCCCCCCCTCCCCCCCTCCTCCCCTCCTCCTCCTCCTCCTCCTTTCCTTTCCTCCTCCTCCTCCTCCTTCTCCTCCTTCTCCTCCTCCCTCCTCCTCCCCCTCCTGCGCTGATTTGCTTGCTGATTTTCCTGCTTTCGTTTGTTGTCGTTTTACACCAGCTTCCTGCAACACTGCTACCCTGAATGCCAGCGCGTTTGGGTCGCTCCTGCTGCCCTTCCTGGGTCGCCGCAGTGCGACGACAGTCCCGCTTGTTTGCAACATCGTTCCTGCGTAACCCTTGCGACTGGAGTCAAATATGTTGCAGGGCAGCAAGGCCGATAGAGTCTATCGGCCTTGCTGCCCTTAGTGTATGTTGAACACGTGCTTCTTTAGTTTTTGGTGTTTTATGATTTTGTATTGTTTTGATTATCGTGTCCGAATTGTTTAATGCTTACTGTTGTTGTTACTGTTGTTGTTGTTGTTGTTGTTGTTGTTGTTGTTGTTGTTGTTGTTGATGTTGTTGTTGTTGTTGTTGCTGTTGTTGTTGTGGTTGTTGTTGTTGTTGTTGTTGTAATGTTTCTTGTTGCGTTACGTTCGTGTTTGTGGTGTTAACTTGGCTTGGTTTGTTGATGCGTGTTTGTCGTTGTTTAGTTTTTGGTGTGCGCGACAGAGAGAGAGAGAGAGATATCATTTCATTTAATGTATGCATCGATTTGTCGATACCTGTGTATATGTACATGCGTATGTGCATAATTATCGTTTGTTCTGTGCTCGCCCCCTTTTCTTTTCCGTTGTTTTCTTTTTTTTGTTGTGTGCTTTGTTTTGTTGCATGTGTGGTGTTGTCTGTGCGTGTGCGTGTTTGTCTTCAAGTTCGACGTTTCTTTTCCGTTTTGGGGCCATTTTTTTGATTTCCCCTCCCCGCGGTTTTTGGATTCTCGTTCGCGCCGTTTTCGGTTTTGTCTCGTTTTGCATTCCAGTGTTTTTTTCTGCTTCTGACTGCCGTTTTGTTGTCCGTTCGTTCTGGTCGGCCGGAACCCGAAAAGCTGAAAACGGGGGAAATCGCCCCCAGCTTTTTTTTAGATCAGTAAAGGCCCTGCCCGCCCCCGCCCACCCACCAGCCCCGCCCGCCCAGCCCAACCCCCCCGCCCAGCCCAGCCTCGATTCCCGATTTCCCGTCGATCCGACGCGGCCCCATGCTTACATGTCGCTGCTGTGCATCCTGGCGCGGGCGATCCGATTCGATCTCGACTCCGTGCCCATGCGGTCCGATCCGACGCACGTTCCGACTCGATCCGACTTCACGATTCGATACCGACTGTTCCCCCACCCTTAAGTCGGGCGTGTCCCTCTGCAGGAGGAATATTCAAAAGTAGTTAAGAAATAATTTGGGGATGATTTTTTGATTATTCTCGACTATTCAACCTAATTTTTTCACTACTTCCTGATTTTCCTCCAAGCTCCGCCTGTAGGGGGACATGCCCGACCTTCCACCCCCGCTCTCAGTCATTACATCGACGAGCACGGCTACGCGACGGCCGCCCGCAAGCTCTCGAGGCGCCCGCTCGCGCCCGGCTCTCCACGGCGTTCCCTCGCGCGCCGGCGCCTCGGCGCCCCGGCGCCCCGGCGCCCCGGCGCCCGCGCCCGCGCGGCTCTGCCAGGTGCGTCTCCCGGGGGCCCCCAGATTTGGAGCCTGCTGGAGGCTGTTTGACGTTCGATTCCAGCAAGACTGCTTGCACGGAGGGGGGGAGGGAGTCTGGACTTCACGCAAGCCGGCACTCGCTTGCGCGCCCATTTCGGCCCAGAGCTGTTTGAGGAGGCGGCTGAAGGGGGGGGGACGGGGCAAATGCCATGCAAGTGACCTCGCCTGAGTCTAGAGAAAATCGCCCTCTCTGCCAGGTGCGGCTCTCGGGGGCCCCAAGATTTAAAGCCGCCTGGGGTCTGAGGTGGCCCAGCACTCACCGGTTTCGGCGATCAGGAAGTAGGGGCAGGTTCGAGATTCTGGGATTGAGGAGGTTTTACTTTTTTGGTCTACGGGCCGTTTTCGGGCCACAGGGGCCGTTAAGAATTGATCCGAACTGAAAACTCGATCGGATGGACCCCCTGGAGGGCTCCGTGGACAGCTTTGAGCGGATTTGGCGTCATCCCCCCTCTTGATCGATTTTCTCGGGGCCCCTACACATCAGACCCCCTGGTCGCTTCCAACCCCAGGCCACCTGGCCGCTTCCGGATTTTCAGCTCGGCGCTGGACCCCCTCCCTGGCGCGCGGAGCGCGCCAGGGATAACGCCAGAGGCGCCGCTAGGGGGCTCCAGCGCAGATCCAAGAAACCCGCGTGGAGACATTTTTTTCCTCCTGTTCTCTTCCTCTGGGTGAGTCAGTGGGGATTCGGGGTCACCGCGTGGCTTTGGGACGTGGGTCGTTCTCCTCTGACGTCTCGGGCGACCAGGGCCTCCAGGGTCGCGGTGGCGGACCTTGCGGTGAGGACTCGTGGGATGCCGAGGACACCTCGCTGCCACCACGCGGTTTTGGGACCCCCCGTCGTGCCTCGGCGGGCAGGCTGTCGCGAGCAGAGAACGAGCCGGGCCCCAACGCGCCATCGCGGATCGATCGGGCTCGAGTCGCCATGGAGCAAGCGGGTCTTGAGGGACACGGGTCCTGAGGCTTGCCCCGTGTCTGGCTTCCTGGGGCCCTCCACGGGGCCCAGGACTGTTCACAGGACTACTCAGGATGAAGAACAGTGACTTCCTTCTTATCCTCTGGCGCGTGACGGGCGTCACCCGGCCCCCCCCCAGGTAACGGTAATGATCGTGCGTTTTGGGAGGGGGCCTGCCGTTGCTCGCAGGCGCGCCCTGCCCGTGCCCGCGGGCGCGCCCTGCCCGTGCCCGCAGGCTGTGCGCCGGAGCCCCCACCCCGCCCGCCAAGGGCTACCCCCTCCCGCCTCCAGGTGGCGACCGTTGCGCGGAGATGGGCACAGACGGTGCCAGAGACGGTCCCGGGGGGAGGGCCTCAGGTCGGGGATTGGAACATACACACTGCCAGTGGCGGGCTGCTTTTCAGTCCCAGGACTTCGTGAGGGTCGCGGGCGACGTCGGGGTGGTGTGGTACGTGCCGTGGCTTTTTCCTTGCTTTCCCGGGGAGGCGACGAAAGATGTCTACAGCAGGATTCCCGTACACACCAGGATGCGCTTTCCTGAGCGAGTTCCAGTGCGGGGGCCCGAAGAAGCGTCGGTGTATATAGAGTTCGGCTCCTTACCAGGGTCCAGGACCGGCTTCCCTCGGGACTTATGATGTTCCAACCTACTTTAGCCTTGGTCGCCAGAAAGACTTTCGAGCACCAAGAAAGTACCGAAGCTGGAGGGTTTCCACGTGTGGGGCCCGTTCGACACTCGTTCGACACTCGTTCGACACTGTTTCGATACTTGGTCTGGGTGGTGCTCGAAATTACTTTTGGGATGTGTTCCTTCAGTACGATGGGAACAACATAACTCAGGACCCGCCTGCTTCATGCCACAGAGTCGGCCCCCCGGTGCCCTCGCAGATCGATCGGACTCGAGGCGTCGGGCACAGAGGCTCGGCTCCGCGCAGGGGGGCGGCCCTTCGCCGTGGTAGCAAGTTCAGAGTCGGCGTTGGTACATCCCTGATCAGAAGCCAGCCTAGTCTGGATTGATTCCGCTGAATCCAGCTTGATCCCACTTAGTGCGGCCTTGCCCCGCGTAATTCGCCTTAACCCAGCTTGATGGCCCCTGTATCGGGCTTGTCTGCAGACACACTCGTATTTGGGCCTGTGCCATCAAACACGCCGCCGGCGTGGGACCACCCTCAGGCTGAGGCAGGAGAGTTTCGACATCTTTTGCTTGCTGAAGCAAGCCCTTAGTCGTTCTTACGAGGACCTCCAAGGAGTTGCCCCCTAAGGGGGACAGGCCAGGCAGGAGTGACGGTTCCCGGTAGGACAGCTCGCCGATTCCCCAGTCGCATCTCGAACGTTGGCATCGGATCATTGGGGCCTCGACGCATCCCTAGAGAAAACAACGCCCAGGCGGCTGTACGCCATCCCCACTGGGCCATGGAAACTCGGCCCCACCACCCCAACCCGCAGTTGGGGATATGCCACGCGAAGCCCGAAGGGAACAGCATGCATCCTCATTTTTAGGGGTGGGCAGATCGGGCAGCGGGGGCGCAGCCTCGCCGGTGGACTTGCGGATCGGTCAAACGGTTACCGCCCAGGCGGCTGTACGTCATCCGGCTGGCCCAGTTCTGCGTGGCGTCCGCCATCTACGGGACTTACGCGTGGCTGCCGGACGCGGAGGCTGGGCTCCGGGGCCCCGCGCGGCGGCTGCCGCCGAGACGGCGCTTGCCCCGATGATTTTGAAGGGTTCGCACGGCTGCAGCTGCAGCCTCTGTCTTCCCTGGTGGTCGTCTTGGTGGTGGTGGTGGTGGTGGTCGTCGTTGCTCATCGTCGTCGGTCGTCGTCACCGCCACCCGCCGCCGCCGTCGTCGCAGTCGTCCTCCTCATCCTCGTCGTCGTCGTCGTCGTCGTCGTCGTCGTCGTCGTCGTCGACGTCGCTCATCGTCGTTGGTCGTCGCCGTCGTCGTGGTGGTGGTGGTCGTTGTCGCCGTCTAGCTGGTCGTCGTCGTCGTCGTCGTCGTGGCGGTGGTGGTGGTGGTGGTGGTCGTCGTCGGCGTCGTCGTCGTTGTTGTCGTCGTCGTCGTCGTCGTCAATCTCCTCTTCTCTCCCTCCTCGATCCCCGAGAATAAAGGATCAAGGTCTTGATCAGTTCGGCCTCTCTGTCGGCGTCGGAGGCCCCGTGGGACCTCTGGAGCCCTCTGGAGATCTTCCGGGGATCGCCGGGGACCTGCTTGAGAATCTGGAGTCGGGGAACGCAAACATTGCATAGACATAAACTTTCGGAGCTCCGCGCGGATTTTTTACATCTGCGCGGGGTCCCCCCCCCCTGGCGGCGGCGCCCCAAGGCCAACGCAGATCCAATAAAGCTTATGTTTAAGTCGCGTCTTGCCTCTCCATGGAGACTTCCTCCCTCCTCTGGGCCACGCCACCCCCTCCGCCGCCAGGGGGTTCTGGAGGGCACCGGCGCAGCGGTGCTGCTGACCATCATGGTGGTGGTCCACGCGGCGTGCTTTGCCATGAGGCCCCTCCCTCGGCCCCTGCGCTCTCTCCTGGCTAAGGCAGGTCCGCGCCGCGTCGACGCGGCGGCAACGCCGGCGCGGGCGTTCAAGATCTCCGCTGCGGGAAAGCGGAGACCGTCATGCAGGATGATGGCTCAGAAATTGTTGTCGCTTCGCGAATCCCCACCAGCCCATCCAGAAACGATGCCCAGAGGAATTGCCTCGATCAGAGAAGTGGGCAGCACACAGAGGAAGCCATTATGAGACATCTTGGGATATCTTGAGCCATCTTGGAGGTCATTTTGGGCTCTCCCAGACGCTCTTGGAGTCATCTTAATCCGTGCCCCCCCCCAAGAGGCCTCCATGTGGCTAAAACCTGTGTAGAATCAATGATTAGGCATTCTCGCCGAGGCCTCTTGGAGCATCTTGGGTGCATCTGGGGGGGCTCTTGGGGCCTCTTGGGGGTCTCTTGGGGGCCTCCGGGGGGCCTCTTGGGGGCCTCTTGGGGCCATTTTGGGGCCATCTTGGGACCTCTTGGGGCTTCCTGGGCGCTTCTTGGGGCCATCTTGGAGGAGATCGATCAAACAAGAGGGGGGGTTTAATTAGCGTCCCCCCTCGGAAGCCCCTAAAATCGCCTCTTGGACCCCTCTTGGAACGCTCTTGGAGTGCTCTTGGGCGCTCTTGGGGCCGTCTTGGGGCTCTTTTGGGGCTCTCTTGGGGCCCTCTTGGGCCATCTTGGAACCATCTCCAGGCCTCGGATGGCCATCGGAAGCGAAAAGGCGAGAAAGCAAAAATCATTGATTTTCCTTAGGTTTTGGGACGATTTTGGCCTCTTCGGGGCCTCCTTGGGGAGCTGTTTGGCCACTTGGAGTTATCTTGGGGCCGTCTTTGGGCTTCTTGGAACCATCTTAGGAGCCATCTCGAGCGATCTTGCGCTATCTTGAGCCATCTTGGAGCTCATCTTGGGTTCTCTGAGGCGCTCTTGGAGCCGTCTTGGGCCATCTGGGACGCTCTAACTACCCGCGGCCCCCCCCGTCCAGGTCCAGGGGAGGGGGTAGGGGGAGGGGTAAACCCCTCCCCAAGGGGGAAGAGGGAGGGGTGGAAGAGGATCTGCTCTAGACCACCTACGCCCAGAGGGCTGGTGGGATTACCCGAGGTCATGTTCATGCGGCGGCGCCTGGGGTGATGATAGGAAAACCGGCACCGGGCTTGGAAATTAAGTGTTTAATCGTCCCCCCCCTCGGTCGCCCGTCTGGACAGTCGACGGGCCAGACGGAGCCGAAGCGTGGCGGAAGCCGAAGATTCGGAAATCATTTTTGTTAATCGTTCCCACCGCGTTCGTTTACGAACCTCCATCTTAAATTGTAATATTGAACGGCTTGCTCTCAGAAGCCAACGTCCACGTCGACACGGCAGGAACCAGCCGTGCAAGGCTTTGCATTCTGTCGCCAGCGTCCCCTCACGGACTCTTGGCCCTAGGGCGGCCAGGCTGTAAATGCCTGTGGGCTCGGATCCGCTTCGGTTTTCCCCAACTTCAGGGGCGGCCTAGCCAACCTCTAGCAAGACATCCCTTCTATGACGTCCCCCTCGCCTCGCCCCAAGACGTATGGATTCGGCCAGAGGGAAGCTTGAAAGGCGAGGATGACGTCACGGAAGGGGAAGGTTTGCAAGGGGTCTGTTAGGCCACGTCCGACATTCCTTCTTTGGTTGGTCCCTTGCTTCAGATATGGTGGTTGCTGCGTCTTACTTTTTTTCCCTAGAAGGGGTCGAAGTGAGCCGCCAGCTCCCAGCAGTCTGCTCTGCGCGGCGACGGAGAGGGAGAGGGAATGAGAAGCAAGCAGTCGGCGACGAACGCGCAGGCTGGGGGCCAGAGCAGGCGGGACGAGGCAGGCAGGCAGGCGGGCGGGCAGGCGGGAGGGGAAGGGACGGAGGGAGGACAGCAAGCAGAGAGCAGGGAAGGAGGGCGAGAGAGAGAGGGAGTGGGAGGAAATGAGAAACAAACGCAAGCAGACGGGCCGGGCTGGGGCCAGAAGAGAAGGTTCGCTCTCAACGAGGATACAGACGCTACAGCAGCGGCGCGACGGCAGGCAGCGGAGTTCTCGTAGCCGTTGCAGGAAGCAGATCCCAGTGCCCACTGCTGGCCCAAAGGTGACGATGATGATGCTGATGATGATGATGCTGATGATGATGAGGATGATGATGTTGATGATGATGCTGATGATGACGATGATGTGAAGATGATGATGTGAAGATGATGATGATGATGATGATGATGATGATGATGATGATGATGATGATGATGATGATGATGATGATGACGATGATGATGATGATGATGATGATGATGAGGATGAGGATGAGGATGAGGATGAGGATGATCATGCTGATGAGGATGAGGATGAGGATGAGGATGAGGATGATGATGATGATGATGATGATGCTGATGCTGATGCTGATGCTGATGCTGATGATGATGATGATGATGATGATGATGATGATGATGATGATGATGATGATGATGATGATGATGATGATGATGATGATGATGATGATGATGATGATGATGATGATGTGCTCTACTGTTGTTGGCAGATAACTGGAGGGTGTCACTGGGGTATTCCAGCCCGTCCCCCCCCTCTCGAAAACTGGGGGGGTCACTGGGGGATCCCCCCCCCCGTCGGTCCATTATGAAAAGGGGGAGGGGTCACTGCCGGTTCGAACCCCTTCCCCCTTCCCTCCTGGAAAACCCAGGGGGGTCACTACTGGTTCGAACCGCCCCCCCTCCCCCCCTCACCCCTCGCCGCAAGGACTCCCCCTCCTCTCCCACTCCAGATGGGGGACTGGTGGGGACAGTGGTTGGGACGGTGGTGGGGATGGTGGTTGGGAGCGGGGACAGTGGGGAGAGTGGGACCGTGGTGGGGACAGTGGTGGGAACAGTGGGGCAGTGCGACAGTAGTGGGGTCAACAGTGGGACAGTGGTGAGGACAATGGGGACAGTTGGACAGTGGTGGGGACGGTGGTGGTGGGGGCAGCAGTGGGACAGTGGTGGGGACGGTGGTGGTCGGGACAGTGGTGAGGGCGGTGGTTAGGACGGTGGTGGGACAGTGGTACAGTGGGGAGAGTGGTGGCGACAGTGGGGACAGCGGGACAGTGGTGGGGACAGTGTCGACAGTGGGGCAGCACAGTGGGACAGCGGTGGGGACAGTGGGAACAGTGGGACAGTGGTGGGGACAGTGGGGACCCTGGGACAGTGGTGGGGACAGTTGGGGCAGTGGGGAGAGTGGGATCGTGGTGGGGACAGTGGTGGGGACAGTGGGGACAGTGCGACAATTGTGGGTGCACTTGTGGGGAAAGTGGGGACAGTGGTGGGAACGGTGGGGACAGTGGGACAGTGGTGGGGACAGTGCGGACAGTGGGACAGTGGTGGGGGCAGTGGTGGTGGGGACAGCGGCGAGGGGACACTGTGACAGTGGTGGGGACAGTGGGACAGTAGTGGGGACGGTGGTGGTGGGGACAGTGATGGGGACGGTGGTGAGAACGGTGGTGGGACAATGGGACAGTGGTACAGTGGTGGGAACAGTGGGACGCTCAGTGGGACAGCGGTGGGGACAATGGGGACAGTGGGACAGTTGTGGCGCCAGTGGGGACAGTGGGGAGAGTGGGACCGTGGTGGGGACAGTGGTGGGGACAGTGGTGACAGTGCGACGTCATTGGTGGGGACAGTGGGGACAGTGGTGGGAACAGTGGGGACAGTGGGACAGTGGTGGGGACGGTGGTGGTGGGGACAGTGGTGAGGGCGGTGGTGAGGACGGTGGTGGCGATACAGGGGTCTTTTGCCGGCGGCGAGGGGGGTGGGGGGTTCGGACCGGTAGTGACCCCACCTGGTTTTCCGGAGCGGGGGGGGGGAGGGGGGTTCGAACCGGTCGTGACCCCCCCCGGTTTTCTGGAGAATGGGGGGGGCAGGGAGGAGGGGTTAGGGGGGGGAGGGGAGGAGGGTTCGAGCAGGGGAGGGATTTTCGGAGGAGGGGGGGACCCCCGGGTTCCGGAGGAAGAGGGGGGAATTTTCCTCCGTAAAGCAGCGGTGGATCACGCTCTCTCATTGAGATACCAGTCCCCATTGCTGGCCCAACCAGGATGGTGATGATGATGATGATAGTGGTGATGATGATGATGACGATGATGGTGACGCTGACGCTGACGATGATGATGATGATGATGATGATGATGGTGGTGGTGGTGGTGGTGGTGGTGATGATGATGGTGATGATGATGGTGGTGATGATGATGATGATGGTGGTGGTGACGATGATGACGAAGATGGTGGCGACAACGACGACGATGATGACGACGACGACGGTGTTCATGATGATGATGCTGGTGGTGGTCGTGGTGATGATGATGTTGGTGGTGGTGATGATGATGATGCCGACCATGACGACGATGGTGATGACGACGATGCTGATAACGATGATGATGATGACGATCATGATGATGCTGATGATGTTGACGATGATGGCGATGCTGCTGATGATGATGGTGATGCTGATGGTGATTATGATGGTGGGGATGGTTGTGGTGGTGACGATGATGACGATGATGCTGATGCTGATGATGATAATGCTGATGATGATGATGATCCTGCTGCTGATGATGATGATAAGATGATTGTGGTGCTGAGGATGATGATGCTGCTAACGATGATGATGACGATGATGATGATAATAATACTGATGGTGATGATGCTGCTGATGATTCTGATGAGGTTGATGCCGATGATGATGATGATGATGATGATGATGACGATGCTACTGATGATAAGGATGATGATTACCATGAAGATGATGATGATGATGATGATGATGATGATGATGATGATGATGATGATGATGATGATGATAATGATGATAATGGTGATCATGCTGATGATGACGATGATGATAATGATGGTGATGATGCTGCTGATGATGATGCTGATGATGGTGGTGGTGATGATGATGATGACGAGGATGATGCTGATGATGAGGAGGATGAGGATGATGCTAATTATGATGATGCTACTGAT